TTGAACCGTCACCTGGCACCTCCTCGCAGGAGCTGGGCCGGAGCTAGATGCCCTGGATGGCTGAGGCCGTCCCAAACATGATGTCATTGGCTGTACTAACACTTGAGCTCAGTAACAGACTCACTGCCTTTGTCACATGTGCAGCCCTCTGGGGCCACCTCGAGGACCCAGCCCTGCTGGCATTCTGGGGTGTTTCATGCTGACTTCAAACTTACAGGCACATGCTCATATGGGCACACACGTGTACATGTGGACACATCACGTGGACACAACACACATGTGTACACAGGACACTGGGACGCATCACATGGACACACCAACACACACGTGTACACATGGACACAGGGACACATCACATGGACACACCAATGCACGTGTGTATACATAGACACAGGGAAATATCGTCGCAAGGACACACCAACACACAAGTGTGTACATGGACACAGGGTCATGTCATCACGTGGACACACCAACACACACGTGTACACATGGACACAGGGACACATTACATGGACACACCAATGCACGTGTGTATACATAGATACAGGGACACATTGTCACAAGGACACACCAACACACAAGTGTGCACATGGACACAGGGACATGTCATCATGTGGACACAACACACACGCGTACACAGGACACATCACATGGACACAGCAACACACGTGTACACATAGATACAGGAACACATCACATGGACACACTAACACACACGTGTACACATGTACACCAGGACACATCACATGGACACACCAATGCACGTGTGTATACATAGACACAGGGACACATTGTCGCATGGACACACTAACACACAAGTGTGCACATGGACACAGAGACATGTCATCACATGGTCACACCAACACATGTGTGCACATGGACACAGAGACATGTCATCACATGGACACACCAACACATGTGTGCACATGGACACAGAGACATGTCATCACATGGACACACCAACACATGTGTGCACATGGACACAGAGACATGTCATCACATGGTCACACCAACACATGTGTACACATGGACACAGGGACACATTGTCGCATGGACACACTAACACACAAGTGTGCACATGGACACAGAGACATGTCATCACGTGGACACACCAACACACATGGACACAGGGACATATCACATGGACACACCAACACACACGTGTACACATGGATACAGGGACACATCACATGGACACACCAATGCACGTGTGTATACATAGACACAGGGACATATCATCGCAAGGACACACCAACACACAAGTGTGCACATGGACACAGGGTCATGTCATCACGTGGACACACCAACACACATGTGTACACATGGACACAGGGACACATCACATGGACACACCAACACATGTGTGCACATGGACACAGACGTCATCACATGGACACACCAACACACACATGTACACATGGACACAGGGACACATCACACGGACACACCAACACACGTGTACACACGGACACAGACATGTCATCACGTGGACACACCAACACACATGTGTACACATGGACACAGGGACATATCACATGGACACACCAACACACGTGTGCACATGGACACAGAGACATGTCATCACGTGGACACACCAACACACATGTGTACACATGGACACAGGGACACATCATCGTGTGGACACCACTCACGTAATGCTCACTTGTATACACACGTGCCCTTATGTAGACACACGTGGGCACAGGGACACACTGTCACACAGTTGCACACAGAAGGGCCTTGTGCACACAGCCAGGTTCACACATTACGCAAACCCACAGTTCAGACACCCCATCCATGCTCACACAGGCACCCCACATCCACACCCACACTCCTGCCACATGGCAGAGCTGGGCCTCACCCAGGTGACCTGTTGGCCCGGAGATGCCGTGATCAGTCCCAGCAGGCTCTTGGCTCCCATGTCGCCAGGTGTGGGCTGGGCCAGGCTTTGTTTGTTTGTGGTTGTCCGTGGTAACAGTGTGCTGGGCCCCAGACAGCAGGAGAGGGCTGTAAAGTGACTCTCAGACAGGCCTATCAGAGGGGCCACCCTGGAGCACCGTTCTCTTATTTCCTGGCCCTTGGCGCCGCACCCGCTGCTGCCAGCAGGAGCCGCTGTGTTCACCCCAACCTGCTGTCGCTGCTCTTGAGGAAGCTCCTCTCAGGGCCAGGGGTGGCTGCCCTATGGGAGGTGCAGCTGTGCACCTGTTAGGGTCTCTGTGTATCGCTGGGTGTCCCACAGCCCCGCGGTGTGGGTGGCTGCCCTTGGGTTTCCAACCTTGTGAGTGGTGACACGCGGGCCCACCCATGTGTCAACGTCAGGATCCAACTGGCCATTGCACGGTAGATTGAGCTGCCACTTGCCCTGTTGGCATCCCGCACAGGCTGCAGTTCAAGTCCTGGCTGTCCCTCTTCCAACCCAGCCCCCTGCTAATGCTCCTGGGAAAGCAGTGGAGGTTGACCCAAGGGCTTGGCCTCTGCCCCAACGTGGCACCCATGGGAGTACTTGCCTGGTTAATGCTCAGCTCATGTGGCCATTTGGGGAGTGAACCAGCAGGTGGGAGAGTGCCCTTCTGTCTTCCCTGGACTTCTCTTTCAAATAAATCAATGAAGAAAAAAGGAGCCAGAGGCCACGTGTCCTGGTGTCAGAAAAGGGGCATGAGTGAGGGTTTGCCCTCCTATGGCCTTCCTCCTCCTCGCACGATGCCCCTCCCTGATGTGGGGCTTGGGGGCTGCCAGTGCTGTGTGGATTCCTGTGACTGAGCTGCCTCCCTGCCCTGGGCAGTCTTGCACTTCCCCTCTGCCCAGGACACCCAGGTATGCAGCAGGGATGGCCATCACATGGCCAGTGCTGTCCTGCCTGCTTGGAGGCACCCTGGGAGTGAGGGCCCGAGGCAGTCCCTGGTGGACGCTGCCTTCCTTGTAGGAGTCAGTTTCAGTTCCCCAGCAGGTGGCTTCATACTGGGTGGCTCTGTGTCCTGGAGGCTGCCTTTGCACAGGTGGGTCCCGTCACCTCCCTGTTGCGTTTCCCCACTCGGGGGTGCGGTGGGTCAGCAGAGGTGCCAGCCGGGCTGGGTGTAGGTGATTGCAGAGCGCTGCTGTGTCCGTGTGCTGATGAGCGGTGAGTGCTGGCAGGAGAGAGCGCTCAGTGGGGATGGGGTTCTGACTGCAGGGCACACGTGAAGCCCCCAGACCTCCCGTGCCCCCGTGTTGGCTGCAGGGGTACCTGGCACACACCTGGCTTCAGGGCTGGCTGCTGCCACAGGCCCCAGGAGTTTGTGCTTTGGGACACCTTGAGGTCGCTGGCAGGTTCACTGCACGCTGTGTTCCGTGCGTGTTGATGCGTGCCTCATGTGTAGCCAGGACTGCCCGTCACTGCTAACCGAGCCCTTGCTTGTGTTGGATGCTGTGTGCACCCCTGGGGTGTGGCCTGGTCGTTTTACCGCCCTGGAAATCCCCCGCACTTTGCCCCAGTCCCACACCAGCCCGGGTCAGTGTTGCCTTTCCCCTCCAGCTGGAAGTGCAGTAGCCTGCAGCGTGAGTCCCAGCTCCCAGCTTGTGGGGCCCGCAGTGACCTTCACAGACAGCAGTCCGACTGTCAACACGCATGGGGCGGCCCAGGATCCTGGTGTGTGTTGCATGGGAAGTGGCCGTGGGAGGGGTGTCCCTTGAACTGCAGGCTGTCACCAGCGTCCCCCGGGGTTCCCTCTGCCCCTCATCATGTTGCAAAGCTGTGTGCCACTTGGTAGCTTCGTGTTTGCTCATTCTCACCTCTCCCCAGGGCAATGTGGAAAAGGTGTGTCCTGCTTGCTATATGTGTGGGCAGGTGGGCTTGCGTAGGGGTGGAGCCACGAGAGTCATCACACACACAGCCCCAGACAGGAACTTGAGTCATGGCCCGGCCCAGACGCATGATGACCGTGTGTCACCGATGCCTGGAGGAACTTGACTGAGTCAGATGGGCGGAGCGACTGCCCCCTGCTGCTGACCATGAGGCAGTCAGGTCTCTGCAGGTTCCCAGCGAGGAGCCTGAGGATGGAGTGGGGGGGCGGTCCTGGAAGCAGAGGGGCTGTGGGGAATGGGGTCCCGTTCCCAGGAGCCAGCTTGGCTGCTTCCTAGAGTGGCGGCAAACAGGCCAGACCCTCCTGCTGACTCCCTGCTCTGTGCCAGCCCCCGCTGAGCCTCCCTCTCCCTGCTAGTCTCAATGGGTGCCCTGCGAAGGGGTCACCGCTGCCTGCTTTTAAGGCTGGTGTGTGTGTGGACAGGTGGGCTAGGGTTGGGTCGGGGCTACGAGATCGATCCCAGCCCTGTGGCCTGGGTCAGCTCTTGGGCAGGCACCTCCCATCTCTCTTCCTGCCAAGCCCCATAGGTGCCCTGCAGGGGCCCCTGATGCTGCCCATGGCTTCCAGAGGAGGAGGCAGAGCCCAAGTTGGGGCTTAGCTGGTGTCAGCGGGATCCCAGCCCTGTGTCCTGGGGAGGCTTGGGCAGGTGCCTCTCGTCCCTCGCACGTTGTGTGTGTCCTTCCCCGTGAGCCCTCCTGTGCTCAGACCCCTGTGATGGACTCAAAGCACACTCCCTTCTTATGTGTCCTGCGCCAACTGGATATCCCTGACCGCCATGTTCAGACTCTGTGCAGCTGCAACTGTAGAGAGTTCTAGAAGGGGCAGGGGACCCTGGGAGTGGGTGTGGTGGGACAGCCTATAAAGCCATGGGTGGAGGCCCCCTCCAACTCTGGACTGGCTCTTCTGCCCCCTGCAAGGAGGACCCGTGCCTGGCCCCAGGTCTGTGTCCTGTGGGTCAGGGGCCTCGTTCCTGAGAGACAGGTGCAGGGTTTCTGTGAAATGTTGACAAGGGCCCGAGCCTTTCCGCTCGATGCTGCCCACTGGCCCCGGGTCTCAGTCCCGACGCCACTTTGTGGCTAAGCATGTGGTCAGTGAGGGCCCAGCCTTGTGCCTTTGCGGAAGCTTCCTTCCTTCCTGGCTCACCTCTTTCTTCTCTTCCAGGTGCTGACGCCCTGCTGTGTACACGTGGACCTGCACCAGGTAAGCCCCTTGCCTGTCTGGGGCCGTCCAGCTGTGGAGTGGGCAGTGCTCCCGGCCCCGCCCCGTCCATCACCAGAGCTCCTGTTGGGTGTAGACTGCTGAGGACTGCCCTGTCCACTCAGCTACTTTAGGGTTCACTTCCTGGAGGCCTAGTTTGCTGAACTGGACATTGGCTGTGTCACTTGTGGCAGAGTGCAATGGCTGCTGAACAGTCAGCTGGATGAGTGCCGTGTGTGTGTGTGTGTGTGTGTGTGTGTGTGTGTGTGTGTGTGAGAAAGGTTGATTTATCTATTAGAAAGGCAGAACTGCAGAGCAAGGGAGACACAAAAAGGGCTCTTCTGCCTGCTGGTTCACTCCCCAGACAACCTAAGCCTGGAGCGTGGAACTCCATCAGGTCATTAGCTGGGAGCTGGTTGTGAAGTAGAGCAGCTGGGACTGGGCTAGGCTCCCATATGAGATGCCAGCACAGCAGGTAGCGGCTTACTGTGCTACTCCACAACGCTGACCCCACCATGTGTTTTTATCAGATGGAAGTCATATGGGTAACGGTTTGTCTTTGCTTGTTGTTTGGGCAGTTGCTCTGTGGTCTATTTATTTACTTAAGATTTATTTTATTTTTATTGGAAAATCAGAAAGGAGGAAAGACAGAGAGGAAGATCTTCTATCTGTTGATTCACTCCACAAGCGGCTGCAGTGGCCGGAACTGAGCTGATCCGAAGCCAGGAGGCGGGAGCCTCTTCTGGGTCTCCCACGCGGGTGCAGGGTCCCAAGGCTTTGAGCCGTCCTTGACTGCTTTCTCAGGCCACAAGCAGGGAGCTGGATGGGAAGTGGAGCAGCTGGGATTAGAACCAACACCCATATGGGATCCCAACATGTGCAAGGCAAGGACTTTAGCCACTAGGCCACCACGCCGGGCCCATGCATGTGAAATCCACCTGTGCAGTTTGTCATTGCATATGCATGCATGCACATGTGGGATTATTGCATGCACTTGAATGTATCTGTGCATATCACATGCATAATTGTTATAGCATGTGAATGTGTTTTTCATTTTATAGGTTTTTAAAAATATCCATCCAACTTATTTCAAAGGCGGAATCACAGAGATCCCCCATGTGCTTGTTCACTCCATATACCGCTGCCATGGCCAGGGCTGGGCCAGGCAGAAGCCAGGAGCCCCGTGGGGTCCCCGTGGGGTCCCCTGTGGGTGCAGGAGCGTGGGAATTGGCACCATCTCCACTGTTCCCCAGGAGCACTGGCAGTTACTTGCAGAAATGGCAACAGTGAGAGGTGTGTGATGTGTGATGCTTACTGGCATGGACTTGCGTCCGTGTGGTCTTCATGTGAACGAGAGTGCACGCTGTGCCTGAGGAGTTGCCCTGGCTACCTGTATGCTGAGTGGCCATTGCCACAGCTGGGCACCTGCTACCCTTTGGGGGCAAGACAGGCCTGTTGGTGAGTTGGATGTTGTGATGTGCCCGGTTTTGAAGTTGGAGGTCTGCTGCACAGGATGACAATCGTTCATTCAGTTAGTGGAATTTCGGGGCCATCTGAGCTATGTGCTCTGTCGTAGGCCCACCGTGTGTCCTGGGGCCTCAGAGACTCGCAGGCCTGCGAGATGTGTGTGGCAGGTTGTGGTTTTGGGGGTACAGTGTCCAGTGGGGACCATGTTCTCTCACCTTGTTAGGGGGAGTCCCTTGGGGTGTGCTCCCATGTGTTGGTCATGCTCCCTCGCCTTGGTGGGGGAGTACCTTGGGGTGCAGTCCCGTGCTGTTGGGGTGGTGGTGTTCGGTCCTGCTCACTCCCTGCCTTGCTGACTCTGGGTTTGGGCACAGGTGGCTATGGCTGGTGGTGTTCCCAAACCCACCCTGCTGTTCCCTGGGGTGCCAGTGTCCCTGCCTGAGCCTCCAGGCCTGGGGTTCCACTGTTGGAGACACACCCGCATTCCTGCTCCATCCAGTCCTGGTTTCGCCTTATCCCTGTGGCCACCCTCAGTGACCCCCTCAGCGACCCCCTGGCCGGGCTGTGCCTGAGCCCTTGCAACAAGTTCCCACAGGTGTGTCTTAACATGCCTCGGTGTCGTGAGCAGCTGGGCTGCCAGGAGCCTGGGCATATAGCTGCCCTGAGAGCCCAGGTGCCATTCGTTGGACCCAGCTAGGGGTTGTGCCAAGAAGTGGGCAGAATGGAGGCTGCCCATGGGACCCTGTTCATGACACCACAGGCTCAGGGCTATGTTATTTTTTTCTGGCATAAGCTGTGGCTGCCAGACTTGAGGGATGTCTGCCTCCTGGAGTTTGTACAACTGCTGACATGGGGCCCCAGGCCTAGCCATGCATTCCTTGCTTCCTTTAACCACAACGTGGTGCATCTGTGCTTGGCTGGAGCAGCAGAGAGGCAGTCAGTCCCCTGGGCCCCTGGCCTAACACACCCGGATGTTGGAGGCCTTTCCCGGTGCTGTGCTGGGCTGGGCTGGGCTGTCTGCTGGGCTGTTTGCCTGTGGGTCTGCATTTCCCTTGTGAGTCTGCTGTTTGCCCTGGCCACACAGTGAGGTGTGAGGTTACCACGTAGTGCACGGCCTCCACGTGGGAGGCAGAGTCCTCCTTGTCAGAGCTCCCAGCTGGTGAGTCACATGCAGGCTCTGAGGTCCTGGGGGACCAGCCTGGGAAAGAGTCCCAGGAACAGACAGCACCTTGTGTGCAGGGAGACAGATGGGTGGCAGGAGAGAGGTCGTGTGGGTGCTGGGACCTGTGCTGGGCCATGACAGTTGCAGGGGGAAGGTCGTTCCCAGGTGTCGTCCTAGCTGCGGTTCTGGGAGCAGAGGCCCCGTGCTCTGCCTGTCATCGTCATCAGCCGACATCACGCCACGCTGCATTGGGCATGGTAGGCTCGGTGGCCCCTCCAGTCAGAGGCAGGGCTGTGACTCCAGTATCGTATGTGTGTGTGTGTGAGTGGGGCCGTGCTTTCCCTTTCCTCTCCCTCGGATGCCACTGGTCCCTGTGCACCCCAGAATCCTGGCAAACTCAGGAGCAGGATTGGCTTTTGCAGGGAGACCACGATGGAACCCTTGTGCACTGCTCCTGCCCCAGCCAGGCCAACCCTCCCAGCGGCTCATGCCTGCCGTGTCCCCACCCCAGACAGCCCTGCGGAAGCCTGCGCCATTTACAGTGGCTGTTGCCCTTGAGAGAGGCCCGCACCCCTGCCTTCCGGTGGCCTTTGTATATGGGAGCAGGTGCTGGCCCAGGGGCGGGGGCACCGAGAGGCTGAGTGAGCTGTGACACTGCCCACTTCTTTGTTAATTAGAGTGAGTACCCATCAGAGGTGACCCCAGGTGACTGAGACCGCAGCCCTCAGCCTGGTGTTTCAGATGACACCTGTGTGTGTCACATATGCCTGTGTATACCTGTGTGTGCACCTATGTGTGCGCATGTGTGGACGTACACGCCGCGAGACAGCAGGGAAGGTAGGAAGCACCTGGATCCGCCCCGGGTCCAGCAGGGAATGCACGCCTGTTGGGAGGCTCCCTAGTCTAGTGTGTGGGCAGGCTCGAGTGAAGCCCACAGAGTCCTCCTGCACATCCCCTCTCTGGATGGCCCAGCACCTCCCCAGGCGTGTCTGGTCCTTCCTTGGCCCCAGGGCACGGAGGAAGCTGCTGCAGCCATGTGGAGAAGGAGGAAGACAGCCAGGACTGGCTTGCAGCAGCTGCTGGGCCTGCATTATCCGGAGCAGGAGGGCGCCTGTGTGGGTGTGTGCGAGGGGCTCCTGGCCAGCTGGGCTGATTATGGAGTTACCAGCACTCCCTAGGCCTGTCTTGCCTGGGCGTGGACCCAGGGCTGGCCCGAGCCTCTGCCTTTTCCTTGTGAAGGCTCCTGGGTGGGCAGGGCTTGGGCCAGCGGTGCGGGCCAGTCCAGGACTCAGAGCAGTCCCGGTCTTTGCCTGCCAGCCCGTGTGTAGCTGCCCCCCAGGCATCCCAGAACTGCACCTAGGGCGTACCAGCACCACTCCCTCTGACCGTGGGCTGCAGTTTGATACTCACCGGCCTTTAATACCATCATCCCTTGCGACGCCTGAAGCAATGGGCACGCCTTGGGGTCCCTGCAGCTCGGGGTGACTTTGGAGCAGGTGTCTGCAAGGAGGGTTCCCCCCAAGGACCTCTCATCCACACCGGGGCTCTCAGACAGAGCTTGAGCCCGGGACACTGGGATGAAGCCCCTGCTGTGTGTGCTGCCTTGCAGCTGGGATTTGGAAGCAGGGCTGGCTCTGTGTACAGCCCTTGTCCGCCTTTGCAGGTGCAGGGGACACATTAACCCTGGTGTCAGCTTACAGCCTGGGAGTACAAAGCCTTGGCTAATGATTAAAGACACATAGGTCCGTGGCTGGAGTCTCCCCCAGGCTGCAGCCCGTGCCCCCCATCCCCACCCCCACCTGCCCTGGGCACTTGCACTACCAGGTGTGTCCCACCTGGAGGCGCTGGATTCCCACGCCCTGACCACTGACTGCACCTGTATGCTTGGAGCTGCTGTGTTTCTCTGGGCCTTGGGACCCTCAGCCTAAAGTGAGAACTGGGGTTTGGGATCAGGGCTGGGGTACACTGGTCCCTGCACACCAAGCCCCTACCTTTGCTGAATGTAGACCTCCTGGGCACCCACCATTCGCGATGTTTTGAATGAATGATGCTGAATGTGGCGGCTTCCCCAGTGCCCTGTATGTGGAAGACCTGGCGGAGTGTGGCCTTTCTCCCCTGAGTGTTTCAGACTCAGTAGCAGGTGCACATTTGAAGCATGCGGGGGCTGTTGGGTCACATATGATCTGAGCAAGGCAGCAGTGACAGCTGAAGGGAGAAGTACTTGTGTTTGTGATGACACGCGTTGGGGGAACGTGTGCGTGTGACTGCCTGGCACTGCTGGGAGGCGTTCTGCGGACACAGCGTTTTATTTTACCTGCAGGAGGATGGGACTTTCCTCACCAAGGAAACTGCTTACGGCACGTCCCCTTGCTCCCAAGTCTGCATCCCGGGACAGACACGCAGCCTGGGAGGGAGACCGTGGCCAGCCTGGGAGGGGGCCTGGCCCCTGCTCCCATCTTGTTTACCTGCCTGGGTATAGTCTCACCAGTCAGTAAAGGCTGTGCAGGAAATCAGTTTCCAGGGTGCTATGCTCCAGGAGTGGGAGCATCTCTGCGTGGGAGGGAGACCTGCTCACGTGCTGGGGTGCCCAGCACCCCCGTCCTTGAGGGCAGGAGTCCCTGGGTACTCTCCCCTGCACAGGCTGCAGGCCTGTTTCGATGCAGTGCCCGGGGAGGGCGTGGCAGCATTTGCCACGTGAAAAGGAAGTTCTCTTCTCTCTGGGATCCGGGTTACACTTGGCAGCTCTGTCCCAGAGGAAAGGGGACCGGTGTGGGATACATGGATGCTTTCCTTGTTAGCGGTGGGATGCCTCGGCAGGCTGGCTCCTGGGTTCCCAGGGTGAGGACCTTGACATTCCTGACCCAGCCTTCTCCTAGGCCTGAGCCTGTCTGCACCAGAGTGACCTGGCGAAGCGGCTGGAGTGGTGAGGAAGCGGCTTTGGGGGGCAGAAGCATGGTGTGTGGCTGGTGAGGCGTCGGGCCTGGGTGAAGGACCCTCTCAGCCGCTTCCTGCTGTGGAGTGGGGAAGGAGCTGGCTT